AGATATTCAACCAAAAATCTCTCTGTAAAAAAATAAAATGGCGACGGAAATTTTAAAACGTTGCATGGAGCTTGTGATACGTTGGCGGGAAGGTGACGAATTCTTCATGAATTAATTCTGTTAATTTATTAGAATTTATTCATTGACTGGTCATAAGTCAATTGAAGACTCATTGAACACGAGAACTTTCGATTTTAAGAAACCTCGAGATAATTATGTCGTTTACATTTCATGCAAAAAAGTGTTGATTTATCCTCTTTTGATACGATAAAATAGGAGTGAAGATTTTGAAACATCCCATTTACTCGAGATACGCGAATTTGTAGTCTCATTGTTGATAAAGCGTATTAATACTTTAAGGTGTGAGCGCTCATTTGTAATTTTTGAAAAAATAAGGCATCTCTGTTATTTATTACTTGTCTAATGTCCGTTCACTCAGGAGTCTATTTAGGGCAACTCAACTTAATTCTACTAATTCGTTCCTTCAACCATTTTTAACAGCATGAAATTGTCTCCTAATAAAGGAGCGTGTCTCATAACTGTCGCTCTACCATCTTCCTCGTGATGGAAGAAAGATCGTCCAATCGGGCAGAAATTTGAACAAATCCCATACAAAAGCGAGTATTTTAGCAGGTTTTCGGCAAATCTGGGACAAGATGGGCACATCGAGTGACCCCTCAGTCGTGACAGAGGTTTGTGCAAAAGGGCATACCTGTCAAAGACTGAAAAAATAGGGCTCGTTACCTTGCGGCTCCCGGAAATAATTAGCTGAGTGTTCGAAGGGTAAAATTCATGAATGCAAGTGTATGAAGTTGTCGATGATTTTGAAGGGTTACAACGTCGATAAAATTAAAAGTTAAAAAAAAAAAAAAAAAAATCCATAATTTTTCATTTAAAGCTAAGTCAAGTCTTCAAAAAATTCTGAGACAAAATTTCAATTCCTCTTCTTTTCGACACAATTGGAAAAAAATCATTCTCAATTGTTTACAAACCATATTCTATCAATGTAATTGAAATAAAATGAAAACTTAAAAAGGATGAATTCTGTTTCCTAATGACGCTTAATGATGACTTAGCAAACACTCTTAGCTAAAATTAGTGTAATTTTATTTTAAAACGCGATGATTTGAAAATTAAGAGTTGCCTTGACGTTCGTGATGTAAGAAATCTCAAAATTAAATGGTATAGTTTAGTTACATAATATGTCGATTGAATCCTCAGATTAAACGACCTCCAGAATTACCATCAGTTCATTTTATTTAAAAGCAAAAATACGTGGATCGTGTTTAGCAAAAAGGAGCGCAATTACTGTGTTTTCAAAATCGTGAAACCTTTTCTTTTCTTTTAAAAAAACTTAATATGTGTACGGTATTGAAATTTACATAATTATGTCCCTTTAAAATTAGCAATCTTTTGGTGGGAAGTAAACACTACTTGCTATTCTGGGAGATTTTTAGGACAATAATGATGAAGCAACATCCTTACACCATTGCAATAACACCGGTTCCATTTTGCTAAACGCGATCCACTTGTTTTTTTTCTTTTTATTAATTACGCGTAATATATATTGAACAAAAGTTTTGGAAAATAGCACACAAATGTAGGTATGTAAAATGCCAGGACGGGAAAAGAGGGCAGTTTTCAAAACGAGGAGAGAATTAAGTACGCGGCGAAAAAAAGGCAAATAGCCCCATAACATTGCGCGGTGTCCCAGTTTCCGCGGGAAAATAGCCAAGCAGAAAAATTCGCTGGAACTCGTCGGACGAGAGCGTAAAAAGAAACCGCGTTTCGCTAATTATACTTTCCCGGAACGAAAATCGATGTTGCGATGAAACAATTACGGCAAGCCAGGAAGACGAACGCGCGAAAAGTGAGATTATAAGTGCATTAGGGACCCATCCACTCCCAGGAATTTTTCAGGTGAATAAATTATGTTTGTGCGCTGGTGTGAGTTCCGCCTCCGCAGGAATTAAAGAATCATTCGACGAAACTGGCAACGTTGTGAAATATGTGGGCCCGGCGCGGAGCGGCGAGACGTGCGGTTCCCCAGGGAGCAGGGATAAATATCCGGGAGTACCACTTAGCGTTTTTTTCTCTAATTATCGTACTCTCTCACTAATTACTTTACCAAGTATTTAGAATAACGCGCCACGGTTATAAGATCCCGCAGGAACCGAAAAATCCTCGATAACTTTAAGGAAAGTACAAGACGGGGAACAAGTCACCGTTGAAAGAAGGATACCTGTATCCTCGATTCCTCGCGTTCTACGCGAACCAGGTCGACTCACAGTGGATCGAGTCAATGGGAGAGGTCGGACAAAATGTGGAAACTTTCAAAGCTTGTAACTCCATTTATCCAAAACTTTGAGGTTTTAAAAATGGTTCCATTGAAAAATTGTTCCTCGTTGGTTCAAAAATTGTTCATGGTTCCTCGTAAAATTTTCATCTGGATGCACTCCTTACTTTTTGAAATGTGACGGGATACACATAAAATTTGCAGTTTTAGTCAAAAATTTCATGTCTGCCTCTCTAATTGACTCGATCTACTGTGCGACTATTCAAACACGCCTAAGTAGAAAACCGAATCTGAAGGTGGGGAATAAAATACATGGGGCAGTGAAGGAGGATCCATTCAACTTTTCAAAAATCAAAACGATTTTACTTTAATTTTTTTCTTCTACTTATGCAGCAACTACCAATCGAAGGATATCATGAGTGTATAAAGAAGTTAAGGCATAACCATTAACTATTTCTTTCAAATGACTTTGATTTTTTTTTTTTTTTTTTTAAAAAAACAGAAATTTTTGTATAGATGCTATGTTATTCTTTCATCTGTCGTATTATTTTTTATTTGCGAACTTTAGAGTGACTCCGTGAGACTGCAAGCGGTTCGATCAACACTTAAATTTTTCAAACATCACATTTTTTAGAGCTCATTTCGTTGTATACCAGACAAAAAAGCGTAACTTCCTTTCAACGTTGTAAGGCTACTTCTCTACAATTTATTTTACCATAGGACCAAAGGTCATTTTTTATTGAAAATTTCAATAGTTTTTCTTCTAATTATTCACATTAATCAGTAAAATTTTAGACAAAGATTACTTAGTCATAATCCTGTAAAAAAATTAGATTAATTGAGTCAAATTGCAACTTTGGAACAGAGCTATGTTTACGAAAGCTATGTTCCGAGCTCGTCTACGAAACGACTATTTGTACACACATTTTTACGTAGATAAAGTAATTTCTTAAATATCAAACAGTGGCGAGGCGTTAACGATCGATCATCAATATTTCTCCATTTGAAGCTATGGTAAAGAATCGATTATTATGGTGCTCGTTGCGAACACCTTATAAATCGATCCTATTTCATGGGTTTAAATGACGGGTCAATCAACAAATCCCAAAGCACGCCACACCATATGTATCCATTCTTATAAACTTGCCCAACGTCGACCACTTGAGCGAAGCAATGATTCCATGTACGAATGCGACCAAATCTATAATGACGCAACCGTAATGATGCAAGGGTCCAGCGGTAGTGCATACTATAAGGCAAACTGTGGCCCGGGTTTGATCTATTAATCTCCTCGGATTATTCGTTGAAACTAGACGAAGTTAATTGATGGAAGAATGAGAAGAGCCCGCTCCCCGGCTAACGAAGCTCACGTCTCACAACCCGTAATTACGGCCCGGGAACCGAAAAACCGCCTAACTCCGGGTGAAATCCACACGTCTATACGTGGTTTTTGCCTGGCGGGGAGAGCGTTTCTTCATGTCCCATATTCCCGGTGTAAGATTTAATTGTTAGCGTGGTCCTCGTATCAATATGGGGATCGATATTCATCCTTCGTGGTGATTATAGGTGTTTGATTTATTCTCTCCTCTGGCACTGGGTCAACTGGCGAAATGACGGTTCGTTTGCCGTTCCAGCTCGCGCTATTGAATTGGATTCGCGCGGAAAAGGGGCGGGCGACTCGAGATTTGTATCAGTCTGGATCTAAAATAACATTTTTTTTGTTTGTGTAAGAATGATCGCAAATATTAATCGATCAGGGCGTGAGTCATTTTTTCTGATATAATATTTTACATATGCATAAGATGTTTGGTAACTTGCTTTAACTGAACTGGTTTTTGCAATGAGGAAATATTGTTTATCACTCCTTTTCGGAAAAAAAACCTATGTACCAATAGTGCTTTTGTAGATGAGCGAGAAATAGTCGTTTCTTATTGCAAAATGTGGCTACGCTAAGTAAGCATCGGTTCCCTATACTAGGAATTCAATGGGCTGCATTTTGCGGTTTGGTAACACCCATAAAAACACTAATGTCTATAGGAAAACCAATAGTAGACAAACGATTTTTTAAACTGAGCCAGAAATTTTAGTTCCAAATTGCAAAATGCAGTCCAAATATGTATCGAATTTAATCGGAGAGAAAACAAGTCACATTAAGATCGAATTGAGAAAAAAAATTTGAAGTTTTATTTCCTCTTACAAGACGAAATGTTCGACTAAGGATTTCATATTCAAAACCTTTTTGTTGGCTTTGAATCTTTAATCGGAGAGAGAACAGCTATACTTCAGCTCAAAAAGTTACTTGGCAATTATTTTTTTTCCAAATACGAAAAAAAAATTGTGAAAAAGTGGGAAGACAAAATAGAAATGAATTACATTGAAGCATTTTTTCACCATGAGAAATGTAGAAAATCTGATATTTAATCATCCAATTGATTACTTTCTAATGGAAGAATCTTTTACATAAACTCCCGCATCCATGTGTGGTACTTTTTACAATTTTTTTCACTTATAATATTTAGGATCGTGAAAATTACCAGTTTTAAAAAGTTTTCCCGGATATACCTCTAGGTTCTGCATCATTCCGAATCATAAAAAATAAGTGAAAAAAAAATCGGCGGTTTCTTAGGTGGTGTATGATATGGTTGAAAGTGTTCATACTTTGATTTCAAGTTTCTAAACTTCCCGTCTTTTTTCATTGTTGCAGGTTATCCTTGCCTGCGCCTTCCTCGCCGTGGCCCGCGCCGCCGGCCCAGCCGCCTACAGCATCGGCTCCGTTGCCTACGGATACGACGGATCCGTCGGCAATGTCCACGAACAAACTGTCAAGTCATACGGAGGCCTCTCATCCGTCTCCGAATACTCCAAGAGCGTAGTCGGCCCCCACGCCACCGCCTACGCCCAGGTCTCCCGCTCAAGCAACTCCGGATACGGAGCCGGCTACGGATACGGTGCCGGTTACGGATACGGTGCCGGTCACGGATACGCTGCACCCGCCGTCGTAGCAGCCCCATCCGTCGTCGCCGCCCCCGCCCCCGTCTACGGAGCCTACGGTAAGGTCGCCGCTCCCTACGCCGCCTACTCCGGCTACGGTGCCGGTTACGGATACGGAGCTGGTTACGGATACGGAGCCGGTTACGGATACGGAAAGAGCTACGTCTCCTCATACGCTACCCCAGCTGTCTCCACCTACGCTGCCCACGCTCCCGTCGTCTCCAGCTACGCCGCCCCCGCTGTCTCCACCTACGCTGCTCACGCTCCCGTCGTCTCCAGCTACGCAGCCCCCGCTGTCTCCACCTACGCCGCTCACGCTCCAGTTGTCTCCAGCTACGCTGCCCACGCTCCCGTTGTCTCTAGCTACGCTGCCCCCGCTGTCTCCACCTACGGATACGGAAAGAGCTTCGTCTCCAGCTACGCTGCCCCCGCTGTCTCCACCTACGCCCACGCTCCCGTAGTCTCTAGCTACGCTGCCCCCGCTGTCTCCACCTACGCCCACGCTCCCGTAGTCTCCAGCTACGCTGCCCCCGCTGTGTCCACCTACGCTCATGCCCCAGTTGTCTCCAGCTACGCTGCCCCTGTCTCCAGCTACGGATACGGAAAGAGCTACGTCTCCAGCTACGCTACCCCCGCTGTCTCCACCTACGCTCACGCTCCCGTGGTCTCCAGCTACGCTGCCCCCGCTGTCTCCACCTACGCCCACGCCCCCGTAGTCTCTAGCTACGCTGCCCCAGCTGTCTCCAGCTACGCTCATGCCCCAGTTGTCTCCAGCTACGCTGCCCCAGCTATCTCTAGCTACGGCCATGGCGCTGTTGCCCATTACTAGATTGTAAATTAAATAAATCGTTACCACTGCCAGTTACCATCAACAAGACTGCGATACTCGCAATTTTGTCGATCGAAAACGTTAAACTTGGTATCATCATTCGATCAGTTCCTTTTTCTCATTTGTCTTTCTGATTCTTTTCATCGAACAAATTGTTAATTTATATTTATTTATAAATTTTGATACAATTCTGTCTCTTCAAAATGTGAATAAAAAGTTATTTATTTATTTTTCAATTCAAAGTTTCCATTTATTGCATTATCATATATAATTTTAATTAGTAGATCTTTCATAGAATCATGACGCTTCGTAGCATCGGTGCTGAGTGTAGGGAATATAACATTTACACAGTTTGGATTAAAGATCTCACTCATACTTTAAATATGGACACTAATTTTTTAAAAAAAAAAAAAAAAAAAAAAAAAATTGCGTTTTTTAATTAGGAAATGCAAATAAAGAAGGAATGTAGTTCCAAAAGCTGAAAGTAAAGACAAAAGAGGTTTTAGAGGCAACATAGTCGGATTTCTAGCATAGATCAGCTATTATTTCTAGAAGAGATCGCATCTAGATTGAGACTTCGTGGGAGGTCATGGATGCTGAAAACGTCATTGCTAATAGCAATATGAGGAAACAAATAAAATGGTACAATAATGCAAATATAGGCTGGCAGTTGACATGTTGCCGAAAAAGGTTCTAGATTGAGTTTCAGTTGGGAGAATGCGCTCAACGAGAGGATAGAGGGATGTTATATACAACTCGAAAAGCTTAAGCGCGAGGTTTCCGAGCGGTCATGGTTTACCAAAAAACAAAGTGGCGGTTAGGGGCCGTAGAGCACCAGAGAGTGGTACCAAGCGACACCTACGTATGTATCTAATGGGACTCAATTTTGCAATTATCAACTACAATTTCTAGCTCAGTTTAGAAACAACGTATATACCATTAGTTTCCGTATGCACGATAGTGTTTTTACGGATGAGCCAGGATTCGTAGTTCTTAATTGCAAAATTAAGTCCAATTTAATTAAATGCACGGATATTTACCTCTTTTTCGATACTTTTTGGATTTTCAAAATTGTAAAGCGTTTTTAATACATTATCCAGGATATCTCCTCCTCCTCTCGCTTTGAATCTTTGAAATACAGTCGATGTCTCTGAAACTATTTCATCGGAGAAAGCGGATGCGCCAAGGAGGAAGAAGAGTCAAGTAATTTCCAAAACTCGAACATTTTCAATTGAAGTCCAGTCATCAATCCTTTGATGTATCCATAAGACGAATATTGGCGCGCGGTAGGGCCTTTTGCGCTACCATCCACGAACATTTTAGTAAAAACACCCAAAATAAAAGTGAAGTTGATTTAACATTCTGGATGTAAAAAAAGTGTGCCAGAACTTATGACATGCCGAAGTACCCGCTACGGCAGTTACTTTTAGCAATGTCAAGATGTCAACTACTGTGGCGGGTAATTGAGCAGGTTATACGTTTTTGCACACATTTTTTACATCCCGAATGTTACATTAACTTCACTTTTTTTTCGGTGAAGCTTTTGTCACACAATCGAACCGTGCCATCAAATCTTCAAGGTCAAGTGCTGTGATTGGTCTATGTCATCGAATAAGCCAATCACACCACTTGACCTTGAAGATTTGATGCCTCGGTTTGATCGTGTGACATAGGCTATAGAAAAGTTCCAAGTTTTTAAAATTAAGCGGCTTGATACTGATTTGTCGATGATTTCTTCGTGTTTGTTTTATTGAACTCATTCCTCTAAGACCCATAAAAAGCAGCGCTCAACTTACATCGATAACGTGGGTTGGAAGTTTTAATCCGCAAATGTCCGCCCCGTAAAAGTGCAGAGCGAAAATGATGAAACGCAGAGCAATATGAACTTACTCGTCGAGATAATTATCTCATGCCATACGGAGTCAATTTGATATCACAACGTGATTGAGGTAGGAGTCTGTCAAGGCGTCACACGGTGGGGCAATTCAAAGGAAGGGGTTGGATACGATGCGGGATAATACGAAATGCAGATGTTTTTAAATGAATCAGTGAGTTCGAAAACACACTAACTCGGAAAAAAAAAATTGTTCAGGAAACACCTAAAACTGCGCAGCAGGTGAAGAAGTTAGTTTAAGAAAAACCTTTTTAGTGCCGAAAGACAAGTACTTAGAGACTTTGTAAAGCACCAAGTTGAAATCGATACACCATGTTTGACCATGTTGACAGAGAATTAAGCGTTTAAAAATTTCCGAGTTGGTGTGTTTTCGGTCTCACCGACTTTCAGATACTGATTTTTCATAGTCTGCCCAGAATAATTTATATTTTCTGACCTGAATAACGCTTGAATATTTATATAAATTGTTGGTACAAGGTATACTGAACCGAAAAAAGAAAACCACAAAATCGGACGGTCACTCGTTTCCCTTGAAGTGGTAAAAAATTGGTATTTCCAATGATATACTTCGACTTTTCCCTTTTCCCGTCGCTGTTCCGAGCACTTCCAATTGCAATTTCGAAATTTCCTTTTGCTTGTACATGCGTCTATCCATAAATGTTATTAAGCCGTAAAAAAGTGAAAATCGAAAAAAACCCGAGTTGGTGTGTTTTCAAACTCACTGATTCAAATAGTCTCATTGGTTTCAGTGTAAAATGCTCTGTAAGTAGCACTACTTGAAATACATAATGTGACTAAATTAACATCGAAATTTGCAGTTGTAGTAAAGTAATCTTGATTCAACCTTTCCCAGTGGCTGGTCCCACTGTGCGGCAAGAAGGATTAGGGCATCGCCCCATGAGCAAGACTCCTGCAAAGCCCCCGACGGCATTTCTCGTAGGACGTGTGGACTTCTCCGCACGTGATGTTTTTTTTTATCCGTGTAAATGTTTTAATCATCTGAGGTTTAATGAGATTTTATCTGATGTATCTGACGTGAGTTTACCGAACGGGAAAAGCCTTATTTTGATTATCAAAAATACTACTAATACGAATCTCCGTAAGTAAAATATATTAAATAAATCGATAGGCAAAGTGCGAAACCACGTATCTCCGTTTGCAACGTTGAAGACTTCCTGTCATACTTTATGACTACTTCTTTGGAAAACTAGGCAGCGTAATTTCTTGAAAATTTTCTTGATTTATCTTCCAGGCTACCAGAATATTCCGTAGAAATTTCAAGGTATAGCCTTATCTTAATTATCAAACATATTACTAATAAAAATCTCCGTAAGTAAAATATATTAAATAAATCGATAGGCGAAGTGCGAAACCACGTATCTCCGTTTGCAACGTTGAAGACTTCCTGTCATATTTTATATTTTCTTTGGAAAACTAGGCAACTTAATTTCTTGAAAATTTCCTTGCTTTATCTCCTTAAGCTGCCAGAATATTCCGTAGAAATTTCAAGTTATGTAGTTGACTTGTTTCTCTTAAAAAAAAATGAATAAATAAATTAGTTGCGGGAATTTTGAAACACCGCAATGGAGGTACGTGGTTTCCCACTTTCGCCATAAAAATGAAAATAATACAAAAATGTATCGATAAAGGAAAGAACTTTAGCAATAACATACTGTATCATCATGAGTGGTGATAGCCACCTCCGAAGAAAGTCTATATAGACACGGCAACAATAGACGCAGTCTGACAGAAAGGTGGCAGCCGACCAGAGACCCATGCAAGTTCCTCAATCTAAAAATTAAGGTGGGCTCCTATAAACTTTAGAGAAATCGGCGCACAGTAGATTGAGTCAATCAGAAAGGTCGGAAATGGAATTTTTTACTAAATCTGCAAATTTTGATGTTTCTTTCGTCACATTTTGAATTTCAAAGGTTGCTTCCAGAAAAAAATTCATGAGGAAACCAATGAAATCACTTTTAGAACCTAAAATTGTGTATAAAAGGAGCTTTAAAGCTTTTAAAGGTTCCAAATTTTGTCTGACCTCGCTCCTATGGACTCGATCCACTGTGTGGCGGCACGAATTCCACCGATTTTAGTGCTACGGACGCGGCTAAGTTTGAACTACGACGTTCAAGACTTTCCGTTAGATCCATCGATACTTTCAAAAACTTTTTATTTTTTCCTAAAAGGATAACATCCACTCTGGAAGGAGCCCGTTATCCCTAGAGATTTCCGCGTCCCTAAAAGTGGCGGGTTTGAGAATGCCCATCAGAAATGATGGATGTGTAACGTGGTACCCGAGGACCAAAAGGGAAAGGCGAACAGGGCTCTTAGCTATGTTTGGAGCAACCTGTCTAAGAGGAAGCACTTCGAAAACCGGGTAAGTAACCTGAGTAGTTGTAGTTGCCTAGATGTGGGAAATTTTAGAGGAGGCAAATTACGGAGGGAAGAAACAATGGCTAAAGAACAATACCGCATATCCGCAAACTGACGATTTGAGCTTTTTCTGCAGGACGCAGAAAAAGTTTTACCATTTATATGTATTTATATATAACCTAACTCGAGATTAGCTTTGCAATTTTTTTATACATTGCAGCGCTCCCGTGTGAAATTGGTAAAAACTAAAAACGTCAGCTTGTGTATGTTATACTTTAGAATGCGGCAAAGTCGCTAACTCATTTGCGCCAAAATTGTCAGTTATGCGGTGTTGTTCCTTAGCAGTGGCGTGGCGTCGTGGCGTGCTTTGTGATATATCGATTTATATGCCATTTAAACCTATGGAAAAGGATCGCGAAACAGGGTGTTCGCGACGAACACCTCAGTTGAAATGGATATCGATAATATAGAATCAGATGTAAACGATAGTATTCTCAGTACCATACCACTATGAGTACTATAAATGAAAATTAATTAATACCGATGAAATAAATTGGACGTATTTCTACCAAACAGAACTATGTGCATTAGGACATGAGCCTTAGGACTAATACGAATAATTTTACAACATGGCTCAAGTCATAATGCACATACTTCCGTTTGAGATATAGGTACGTCCAACAGATGGCCGATGGCTGTGCACTCGGATCTGGAAGAGTCAGTATATCATTCAACGACGTCAAGACTTTCCGTACCTTTCGCCTTCAATTTGTGGCGCATGCAACTCTTGGTACAGAGCACAAACTTGGCGTATCGTTGAAAATAAGGCGTTTTAATAACTTCAGCATTCACGCTGGACGCAGCTGAAGTTGAAACTACTTATTGGCCGGTTGTTGACTTCATGAGGCATAGAAAAAATTCTGTTAAAATAAAAGGTTTCCTTGTTGATAACGAAGAAAGAAGCGA